CTTTGGCCTGTAACAATTGCTATGTTCAGTCATGTGTGAAAGGTTGTATTTAACAGATTTCGTCTGTTCTTTGATATTAAGTTTGTACATGATCGTTATTGTTTTAGTAGGTCTCTGTGTAGCATTAGTTTAATTGCAGAGTGTTGTCATTTGCAACACAGTTATGCAGACTAGACAGAACCCAGCTTTTGACTGGCGTCGCGAATGCTTTTGATGTAATCCATCTGCTCTGATTGTCGAGTCGTGATTTCCTAAAAAGATAACAGAAAAAAATACCGATTCAATTAAATTGTGTTTGGCGTTTAAAATTACAGAAAAATAACCACTTTTCTGATGAGCCTGAATCAGATTTAAAACATGACATTCTACAGTTTCGTTGTTTTTTTAATTCCACATTGATCAGTGGGTCGACTCGGGGATTTAACATGTTTATGGTCGATGTTTTTTTCCAGAGCAGCTGCGTTTTGGATGCTTGGTTTACCATCGGCTTTCAGGAAACGATTATTAATTCTGGCTTTTACATCTAATAGCTTATAAGATATTTATTCCGAATTCAATTCTCACATTGGAATACAAGATCGGTTGTCACTTCCAAGTGATACGCCAACAGGCTTGAGTGTTGCTCGTTGTTTCTGGACAACACCATACTCGCCGCGCGTTGGTGCGGGGACGGAATTGACAGCCGATCCATGGCGAATTAAACCATGTGCCAGCTTATGGTTCTCGAGGGATTGGCAAAATGGCAGCACTTACATAATGAAAACCTGCTGTCGATATGAGCTGTCGTAATCTCCCAGCTACCCGGCTCCGAGGACCTGAACCTGTCCAAACACTATTGAATTGTGACCTTCCAGCTTGCAGCTTGGACCATGAAGCTGTGGTTTATCAACGTAATGAGTTCCGTAGCTTTAGGGACTCCAGCGATCGAATGGACCCACAGGGAAGTTGCCAGATGAATGGAAACATCACTTCATCAATCAGGCATGTTTGGGATGCTATTGGAGGCATTCTCTCTGTGCCGTGACCTTTCGTATAGGATGAGAGTCTAATTTTCATTGATGAGATATCTGAATTAATTGACGGATGAGCAATCAACAATCGCCTTTGAGATCTGTTGATAGGCTCTGATCCCTGGTTCACTTCATTGAACACTTATTACTAAGGCTTTGCACGTATGGGCTTGGTGTAAGAACCATATGGTCGGAATACACGGCATACAAAGCCTTTACTGATCGAATAGGAACCAATCTCGATATATTGTTATACTAACTGGTGTTGTACTGTACTGGTTTCGATGTAGCTTAGTGGTCAAAGCATTGACTTGTCACGCCTGGTTCTGGGTTCGATTACCCCGAAGGGTAGGTGTAAGACACTCAATTGTAACTATGGTAATTTCTCTGACGTTGCACCGTCATGACTGCTGTAATAAAAGTGTGTAAATAAGTGATAGCATTGTTTAGGCGACATTCCAGACATTTTACGGCGGGAGATGCCTTTGAGATTAGAGATTAGAGATTAGAGATTTACCTTTGTGGGCAGCCTGGACCTCGGCGTGACCAGACAGACGAACATATCCGCGTGTCTGGACACCCCACGCCTCCGTGGTCTAGTGGACAGAGTGTCTGCCCGGAGAGCGGATGGACGGTGGTGGGTACCCGACCGCGTCATACCAAAAGACGTTAAAAGATGGTACTAGTTTCTCTGCCTGGCGCTGACCCGTGAAGGTCCGGGGTAGAATAGGTCTTCAGCAACCCATGCTTGCCGTAAAAGGTGGCCATGCTTGTCGTAAGAGGGTAGTAACGGGACCGGGTGGTCAGGCTCGCTGACTTGGTTGATGCATGTCATCGTATCCCAGCTGCGTGGCTCGAGGCTCATGACCTCCATCACTGGATTGTCACACACCACACACTGCACATATGTATGCACGTCGCTATATAAGTGCAATAAACTCGAACGCGACATTAAACCCCATTTCACCTCAGCTCTCTTCAAACCAGACAATGAATACGAACCGACCATGCAGACTGCAATCTCTTATTAACACAACGCATAACCACTTACATTACCAACATCTATTGTCATCAGTAAATATCCGCCCGGGGCGCACGGTTGGCCCAGTCGTCTAAGGCGCCGCGATTCGCTGTGCAGGACTACGTCCCTTGGGCACGCCAGAAACCTATGATTGTGGGTTCGAATCCCGGTTCGCCCCGATCATGTTTCTAGGTTTGTCAGCACCATACCCGTGCTCGTGGGTTTCACCGAAGTGGTAAACGTCTGAGACCTGCATCACTTCGGGTTTTTCTCCCACACTAAGCTGACACGCCGTGATATAACCGGAATACTGTTAAAAGCGGCGTTAAACCCAACTCACTCACTAATATCCGTCGTTATATACTGATTAAAGAAACACATGCTTGAACCGGGCGTACTCCAGTGGCTTTAATTCAGCTCAAATTAAATCTGTTGGTGCCTTCCCAACGCTCCAATCCCGTAAACGTTTGTTACCACGCATGCCGTTATATGGAGGCAATTATTGAAGATGCTACCTGACAATGGTACAGTAAGTAAACGAACACTATGGACGCGCCATCCATCCAGGTTAGATTTCAGCCAGACACAAGACACGAAAACAATTACTTCTGGAATCGGATTTGAATTATATTGGCAGCGTTGATAAGCCGGAAAATTGAACAGTTCTCTCGAACATCTCTGTCAGACTGATATATTGTATATCAAGTACACTCTTGTCTGGGGTCGCGATGTGGCTCTCCGGATCAGCTGATTAATTTGATTTGATTATTCGGCTTCACGTCTGGTTGGCATCAGAGGTGTAATAAAGTATGGCATTGCTGGAGCGGGGGACCTTCTGTCTGTTGTCGGGTCCGAAACTCCTCAACGGATTAATGAACAGACGTATCGTATTGACCAGCGCCTGCTCCTCTCATATTGCATTACGTATGTCATCAAATTAGGGCTAGCGATTAGATTTAGGCGTAACGTCGACATTTGACGTCTGAAACATTTTGACGTCGAACGGACCGTGTCAGGGATCCAGATTTGAAGGATAGGCATTGAGTGAGCGATTTTAACACTATTCCAGTTACATCTCGGCATGTCAGCTTGATGTCGGTGAAAAGCCCGAAGTGATACAGGTCTTAGGCGTTTACCACTTTGGTGAAAGTCGCGTTTATGGTGCTGACAAACCTAGAAACATAATCAGGGCGAACCGGGATTCGAACCCACAATCATAGGTTTCTGGCACATCTAGATAAAGGATAAAGGATAAGGAAGATATTACTGACTAACATGGGCGGTTGGTAGCCGGTAAACTTTGGCTCGTCACGTTTAACCAAGTAGGACGCGAAACATGGTGATTGTTGTTCGGACATGCGTCTCTTGTTTGTAAAGATGAATTAATGCTTGGTTCGAATCTCTGGTTAACCTCGATTACTATCTTTGGTCTGTCAGCACTTACCAAAGTGATGAACATCTTCATTGGGTTGTTGCTCAAAATTGGTCACGGTCATAAATACGCTACTTGAGAGAGACGAAACTTGGGAAGAACTACTTGTTGTCTCCGAACATGTTGTTATGGTGAATATAGCATCAGTCAGATTGGGGCATAGTTTAGATTCGGTCCTCAACACGGCGATGCAAGATATCGCGTGGTCAGGCTCGGTGACTTGGTTAATTGAGTGTCATCGTACTCCGACTGGGATGTTGTTCATAATATCACCCACTGGTTTTGCTGGCCGTTGTTATATTGTTGACTGCGGTGTAAAGCAACAAACATAGAGAACACACTAATCTAACATCAGCTGATGGATTTACTACCAATGCCTTCCTCCAACATTAAGCTGAAATGACGTGATATAATTTGAATGGTGTTGAACTTATTCATTAATTATAACATCTAAATACTCGTAATTAATCCTTTTTTCCCAATCAGGAACGATGCCGATTTTCTTAAATTCAGTGGACGCTTTTGAAGAAAAATAATACAAAAAGAGCATGCAAATGTACATCTTAATATTTGGTCTCATATTTGTTTCCCCTCTATGTCCCCACAGCAAACTTAGTACCGGTCTAGTGTTGACAAAAGCAGCAATAACCCTTTCCATAATCATAAGAAATGTTTGCTAAAAGCAGTTCATTGTACGACGTCGACTATATCATGCGATTATGTTTATGAATAACTGTCAAATAGGGATGTTACCAGGTGTTCACGAACAATTAAGCGTATCCTGCCACACCGGTGGCACCAGTTACAAATACATGCAAAGGCAAGTCAGGTGTTCACATTGAAGAAAAAACAAGGGAACGTATGGGAATAGGGAATTGCAACGGACATAATTTGTGATTCATAAAATTTGGAAAATGTCCTCCCCGTGTGTACCATAGAACGTCTTAACAGCGTTAGGAAGTCCTTGAATGTTGTAACGCTGATCAAATAACTTTTCAGCAAGAGTCGTACGATATATCTTTTCAGGAAAAGCATGCTCGATTATATCTCAAAAGTTGTCAAATGTAACCAGAGGCTTGAGCTTCTGGAATATTGCTCGACTTGAAGTGATACATGTAGTTGACTATTGGAAAGTTTAAGTCATCTCGTTTGTCATAAAACCTTGTGGATTCTTGTCTCTCTGAATCTGTATGCATATGTATATATATATCAACATGAACCAGATGGGGTGGTTTCACTGGTATCTTTCATTGCTAGGAAGTTGACTATTTGACCATGATTGAACGATATCAGATCATCGATATACCTGAAGGTCAAGTTAAACTTCGGGACTACATTTCCTTGATTATATTTTCCAGTGCGAGTAGTGAGGCTGACCCGTTAGCAGATAGTAACAGATCAGCAAGAAGGGGGGCACAATTGGTGCCCATGGGGGTGCCTACTTCTTGCGTAAATATCCCCAACTTTCACTTATATGTTATCTTTGAAGAAGTCTATCATTTCACTGGTTTAATTGCGTTATTTCTTTCTGTTGCAGTGTTGATTATGATAGCGGGGCTCCTCATCTACCCACTTGGATTGGGGTCCAAATCCTTCCGCGAGTACTGCGGCAACATGTCTTCCGCCTACTACTCAGGCCAGTGTCTGATTGGATGGAGCTACATGCTTGGAATTATGGGAACTGCCCTCGCAATCTTCTGTCCATTCTTGTCACAATTCACAGACATGAAAGCAAGTGAAATATTCGCCTGACCAGTGCTTCTAAATTGTTTTCATGAAACGGGACCACTCGCCTCCCGTGGTTTAATCAACAGATACACTGTGGTCCTTCTTATGATTCTGAGAGCAGTCATGGGATGGGACGTTTGCCAAGCTAGGTCACAAGAACGTGAAGATCAGAAACGACACGATAAAACTCGTGCAGAAACTCAAAGATGGTTCGACCCGGATTCCCAGCCTTGAATAGCATCTTTGTATTATTCAGCTTTGTTCGAGATGTGTAGAACGTTATATCCTAATGGGGTGGTGTTTCGGAATCGCATGGTCCTACATTGTCTTCCATTCGATGAATACGCTGTTCATCAAAGACTCTCAAGCGCTCAACGTCTTTTCATCGGGAACCAAATGCAACCACGCTGTCTTGACAAGCATTCGTCACGACAAAGCGAATGTGAATTTTAAAGTCTCCTTAGAGGTGTATGAAACCGCGGAATGCAATATTAAAGTGAAACCTTTCATAAAGACGACATCTGCATCTTGAATATTGATGCCATCAGTTTTCATAGCGGACAGACGAGCTTTATGTGAATCGCTTCAAAAGAACGTCCAAACTACATCAAATCCTTTTAACAACATGTATACATAATTCAGTGGCGACCCCTGATCAATTTCCAAGGCAGACGGATTCCACGAAGCCGGTATTGAAACGCTTGAATAATCAATGACCTTGGTACAGAGTTTGAAGGTGACTCTGTGTTTGGATGAAGTCGAAAACGGACTTGAATACCCCGAAGGGTAGAAAGGTTGTGAGCTGTGTACATATTTTTCATGGCGCTTGTCAACAACCATTGAAAGAATCATTTAGATGTTAGTATTTATTTGTCTTCAGTGGACTCATGGCTGTTTGAAGTTGCCTGACTTGTACTGCTTCGTTGACTTGGTGAAATGAGGATTCTTTAGAATTTTGGGTTCCTCTTGAACAGAGCACCGTGGTGTGTAGCAGGAAACGTCTATAAAACGTTTCTTGTTTGTAGTAAATTTCTGCATGAAATTGTTACAGTTTCTTTATTTCCAGAGGTCATGTTATGCAACGTATTTTCTGTGTCCTAATACAACATATTTTTTAAATCTTTGATTTAATTCTATTGAATAAATACATAATGAAACATAATTTTTAAGCGATATTTTGTCATTTATGAATTATTTGGATATTTACGTAAAATATTAATGAATTCTAGTGGCGTCACTGTTGGTTGTTTGGTTTGTTGTTTAACGCCGCACTCAGCAATATTACAGCTATATGACGGCGATGAGTGGCGTCACTGATTGTCAGCTATCCATTCATATAATTTTCACTGCTAATTTGTCCTTTTGCGCCAAATGGAATCAGTTTCGGTGGCTGGTCGAGACTATTGGTTCTTTGGCGTTGTAGTTTACACTTGGATACGTTAAGAGAATGTTAAAATGTTCAAATCATTTTAAAAAGGAAATAATATCACCTGTTTGCAACGACATAAAAGAAAAACTAAACAATGCAGAAGTTTAGGATTGGTGTTATGCTTTTGAGAAATCCTTTCACAACATCTGTACAAAAATTTCATTTCAATAAAATCTGTACAACCAATATGACAAGCCTTTAAAGATGGGTGGGGTCGAAAAATGAACATTTCGTTAGAGCACTGATCACAGAAACAACGGGAAATGTCACACCACACGTCTCAAAGTCAAGTCAGTAGTGTCCACCGTGAGCATCAATACATGCCAGAACACGCCTACGGACTGATGACGTCAAACGTCTGATGACGTTGGGAGTGATGCGTTGCCATTCCTCGAGGAGACATCGTTCCATGTCCTGGACGTTGACTGGAGGCACACGGCGACGTCGGATTTGCCGATCGAGGTGGTCCCATAAGTGCTCGATGGGATTCATGTCCGGTGAACATGCGGGCCATGGCAAAACCTGTACGTTGGCGTTTGCAAGGAAGTTCTGTGTCAATCTTGCTGTGTGTGGCCTTGCATTGTCATGTTGGAAAAGGAGTCCACGAGGCTGTTGCTGAATAAAGGGCACCACAACAGGCAGTAGGATGTCATCAAGATAACGCTGTGCATTCAGGTTTCCACGAATTACGACAAGCATCGTTTTGATGTCACCACATATGCCACCCCAAACCATTAACCCTCCACCTCCAAACGGCCGGACCTGTTGGATACAGTTAGGCGCCAAACGTTCACCAAATCGTCGGTATACAAGCTGCCGTCAATCGTTTCTGAAGATGAGGAATCTGCTCTCATCAGAGAACATAACACGTGCCCAGTCCCGCCGTTGCCAACGTCGAACTCGCCTGGCCCAGATCAGTCTGTTGTTCCGGTGTCGAGGCGTCAGGAGCGGTCCGCGGTAGGGATGACGTGGCCGGATACCATACTGCCGTAGTCTCCTGTAGACGGTCTGTCGACTGATCCTGTGTCCCAGTGCTGTAGCCGCCGTGGACGTCGCTGTTACGGTGCGGTTCCTCAGGTGTAATACCCGGATGTAACGATCTTCACGGGGCGTGGTTACTCGTGGTCTTCCACTCCTGGGCCTGTCTGACGTCTGACCTGTCTGACGTAACCGCTGCATCAACCTGGTGATAGTGATGCGTGCGCAGCCCAACCTTCTGGCGACGTCGACGTGTGACGCTCCTTGTTGGACCATTCCAACGGCTCTCTCTCTCTCGATGGCTGTCAAACGTGGCATATCTTGTGTTCTTTTTGTTGCTGTGATATCAACGTGTCTGATCAGCCGTTTTATACAGTTTTTCTGCACGTGCAGAACATGCTAGAGAGGGAAATGTCACTTTCACGAAATTTACGTTTTTTCCCTGAAGTAATCACGTGTTCCCGGTATTTTTTATCGACTATGCTGTGTTTGGGATGTGCAATACGAATTGGCATGTTTTCATACTTGACAATTCACTTAGTAAAAAACAATTTTGAAAATAAGTTGGTATCGTTTCTTTTGGACACTAGTTTATATGGGTAAAACTATGGCTGACAAATTTCTAAAAGCGGCGTAAGAATATTCTCATTCTTAAACCTTTCAAACAAGTATGTAGGAAAACAACCTTATCAATTTCTGATCTACATCACGTCTTATGATGAACATTGGCCCAGAATGGACACGGTTGAATAATTCCCACTCTAGTGTAGTTATACACGGCAGGTGGTCAGGCTCGGTGACTTGGCTGATGACGTGTAAAAGTTCGAGTCTGGACCAGACAAACCAGTAACTTTAAGCAAGGAACCACGTTATCGGGATGAGTGGACGCAATCAGCCGTGTCCGATCTAGAGCTTGACCGTTCACTGTTATATTCAGCCCTTAGAAGCTTGAGGTACTGTGTACCTACGGGGAGAGATCGTTTTAAAAAAACAAACATTAACAAAAACAAGCTGAAAAAATAATGTATGAAACAAATCCGTCTGGTGTCAAAATTAAAACTTGTTTATTCCGAATGCAGATGTACCGTTACATGAAATCAATGCAAATGTACGATGAGAAATGTTTTACGATTGTCTTGGTTTTGAAATTTACCTATACCACTTTGTTACTGGGAATTTTCTCAGTTTGAATAAGCCCTAATTAATTTTAAATTAAATATGTAAAGCGTCACGGCAATTGGGATCGATGACATGCATCAACCAAGTCAGCGAACCTGACCACCCGATCCCGTTAGTCGCCTCTTACGACAAGCATAGTCGCCTTTTACGGCAAGCATTGGTTGCTGAAGAAGACCTATTCTACCCCGGATCATCACGGGTCGTATGCAAAAGTATTGGTTTTACAGTCGTAGCTACGATTCCGCCGCAGCGCTAAGACACTCTCTAGACGAATGGTTGCTGTTGCACTATACGATCTTAACGCTACCACGGTCGTAAGTACGTTTGCATGAAAGTTAAATCGCGTCGTAGCGCTAAGATCGTTTGTGGAACGTACACTCTAGATGCATGACTGTTATTTCACTAAACGGTACGACGCTCGTAAGTTCCTCTTTAAGCATGAAAGTTACGATCGTCGTAACGCTAAGACCTCTTCGTGGAGCTGGTCCCTGATAACGCACGTTATCAGTTTTGTGACGTGATGCAATTGTCAACAAACATGTCAAGGACACCGTGACTTTCAACATGCAAATTTGAAACTCTGAAAAAGACGAATTCCTCATAAGCTCACGTCCACGATAAATAACACTTTCTTGTACCGAATTTATCATATGCCCATCATTTTTTTGTGTTAAAATCACATCATAATTACCGGGATGACATTTTTTAAAGAATCTAATGTCATATTTACTCTGCACATCCTGCCAAAATCGCTCAACTTGTTTGCCCTCCGATGAAAGCTGCTTGTTAATTGCCTGTGAATGATTGAATGTTTCGCTATCAAAGCGCACACTTCTTAATCGCATTATCCTGATCATTTCCAGACGAATTGAAACATTCGCATAAATGCAGCCGTTCTTAATAATCCTCGCGCTGCGCATGCGCAGTCCTTGGGAGTCGGGGAAATATTTAATGGCAGAGTTTTACGGGTCAGAAAATATGGCGGCATAATCACAGGACGGGCTGCTCTCATCTTATTGGGCCCTGCGTGAGTCATAGCATACTGTTTGAAAAGATGAAATAGGCGTTATTTTCTACCAGATGAAGCACGCAATTAAATAGATTATTTGATTACTGCTTTAAATATTACTTGTACTCTAATGTAAAATTAATTTACCAGTGTATTAGACGGTTGCTACTCCTTAGCCTCGTTTTCAGATGCACGGCGTGTCGAAATCTCATCACAGTGTTTATTTCCAGCAGGGTTGTGAGTGAGCGAGTCCAGGTTAGCATGATTGATGGTGGAAAGACTCTCAGAGTAACCTTTATGGAACTAATTGTAGCCTGTCCGGTATCGCTTTATCTTGTCCAAATTTACAGCAATTTTGGCGTAATACATCCGTGCTTAAAAGCATAGTGGTTGTCAATAATCGTTTGGATGGTTTACTAAAAAATGTTTTCTCTGCCTTGATTGTTTATAACCATTACATTAGGAAACGTTAGTGGCTTAACGAATAGATTGCGTTTTAATGTTTAACTGCTATATGTGAAGAACAAGTTGCGGATGTTAGTTAGCCACGCATGTGTGCGTCTGTTTGTAGTTTTATTTCGTGAGGCACGAATGGCTGACTTCACCAAGCCTGGTGTCCAAGTTAATCTGCTTCCAGTGAGGATTCTAGACCAGAATAGATCACCATCATATTTCCTTTAGGGTCTGTTAAAATGAGGATTAAATGCCTGTAATGTGTGACCTGGCTGATATTGTGTCATTGTACAACAACAATGTGGGTAGATGTTCATGCCATCAACCACGAGTTTGCCTTCCCAGAATTCGACAATTCACGGATTCTTCATTCACCAATCACGACGTTAAAGATGATACTTGTTGATACCTTGCCTGGCGTTCGCCATTAAGGGGATGAAAGAATGACTGGTTGGCTAGGAGACAGTAGACTGTGTCTGAGCGGGTATCCATGTTAAACTGCGACATGTTATCTCAGTGAACTAGTACTAAAAATGGCATAAGTCTGAAATAGTAAAAGCAGCCACACACAGACACAGCCACACACAGCCACACACACACACACACACACACACACACACACACACAGACACAGCCACACACGAGCACAGAGCCACACAGACATAGTCAGACACACAGACACACACAGACACACACAGACACACACACACACAGCCACACACGAGCACAGAGCCACACAGACATAGACAGACACACAGACACACACAGACACACACAGACACAGCCACACACACACACACACACACACACACACAGACACACACAGACACAGCCACACACGAGCACAGAGCCACACAGACATAGTCAGACACACAGACACACACAGACACAGCCACACACGAGCACAGAGCCACACAGACATAGACAGACACACAGACACACACAGACACACACACACACAGCCACACACGAGCACAGAGCCACACAGACATAGTCAGACACACAGACACACACAGACACAGCCACACACGAGCACAGAGCCACACAGACATAGACAGACACACAGACACACACACACACAGACACAAACACA